AAAAATATTCAACATGTTTACAGTTCAGATGTTTATTATTTTTCCATGTACAAAAAGAGTTGCGTGTGTTTTTTTTGTTTTTTTTGCAAACATGCGATTAGTATCAAAAGTTCACCTCATTTAAAAATCGCCTCTGGCAGAGTAGAAATGTTTGTTTCGGGGTAACCAGCCTTTTCTCATCAGCAGGAAATGAGAAATGATTACTCTTGCAGCACCATCAAGAGCACTAGCCAAAAAACCAGTTCGTAGATATTACAGCAGCTGGGATAGTGACCTTTCCCACAATCACAATAGACCTTTTCAATTCCATACATCCTCAGGAAAATAAACAACACCAGCAACGCCTTGACTTCAGCTACTGGTTTCAGTTGTGGTCACAGGCAGGCGGCTCCTCTCCTCCGCCTCAGTCCTGGTTCTCAGGTGGCTGAACTTGAGCCTTGCGGTACTTGCACTGGATCCACACCCTGTACATGGTGAGCTGTTTCCCTCTGTTCACCTGTAGCCTTCGGTCTACAAGGTTCTGCACTTTCTCCAGTCCTGCCTCAGCAAACAGCTCATGAAGCTCATCTGAAGTAAAACAAGAGGCACAGCAGTATTTGACTAAAGCACTATTCTGCAAATCATTTCTTTATCACTAACTTATTTTTTTTATTTCATTCTTTTACCTTGAGTAAAGAAATACACTCTTGTTCCATCACCTCGGACATAAAAGTTATCTGACAGACACCTTCCTATAAAAGAAGTAAAGAGTCGAAATGTACGTTATTTCCTTATAATCTGCAAGTGCTGTCTACAATAATCATTTACATATTTAAATGTAGAATACTTTGACTGTCATTTTAAATGCCTGAACACTAACGTAGTGGTTAGTACTGAAATACTGCAAACAGAATAACAGAGCACATTTTTAAAGATCAGCACAAGGGATCATCCATGAATTATGGATCTCTGAATCTTAACAGCCTTTGGACTCTTGCTGGATTTTAGTCTGATTAACCTTTCTTGAAGCGGAGCTGTGCCATGTCGTAGCGTCCATAGTCCCTGAGCAGCATCACTCCCCCAGGCTTAAGGAGCCGCGCCAATCTACTGATGGATGCCTGCATCCTGAGACAGGGGTGAGAAACAATGCAGTGTTTCATAACATTCAATGAGTAAAACTAAAAAATAAGAGGGAGGGCGGAGAAAAAGTTCATACTTGTCAGGATGCAATGCTGATAGTACAAAGATTAGCACTATAACATCAAGGGTTCCATCAGGGACGGGGTAATTGGCTTCCACATCGCTCAAGTCATGAACAAAGGCGAAGCAGCGCTCAGGGTCGTACTCTGGATTAGTCTGATGAGAAGAGGGCAATTTTAATTCATTACTTAGCCCACATTCCCAGAGATGAATCCCTAGCAACACACCATTGCTACGATAACATAATCATCTTACCTTCACTAACTCCACAGCAGTGCTGGAGAAATCACAGCAGTAAACAAAGAGTCCTGGGTCACTGCAAAAAGCAAAGCTGCAGTTACGTAAAGTAAATGATTCAGCTTGCTTTACTGGATAGTTCAAACATGGTCTGAAATTTCAGTGTCTTAGCCGCACTTACTTGTTGGTTTTCAGTATTGGAAAAACCGTGTTCCCTACACCGCAGCCAACCTGTAAAAACAAATAGTAACACTTATAGCAGCCATCTTAGAGAATAAATCCTGACAGCAAATACAGGTTGATGTTAACATCTGCAATGGCTGAAAAAATCTCAAAATTTAATTCAGTAAACTACAATGTCACTCAGTAGAGTGCGCACCTCTGCCAAGGCCCAAAAGTACCCTTAAATTCAGTCGAGCTGCACCAAAATTGTTTCATCAAGAGCCATGCATTGGTCACTGGGAAATCATTGGAAATTAAAACATCCAACAACAAAAAAAAACACACTCTCTAAAAATAAAAAATCCTGGTCCATGGCCCTGTTTCAGATCTGCACCAAATTAAATGGGTTCTTCCCTTCTTCCCTTAAAAAACAAACTAACATAACTATCAACCAACCAACAAACGAACAGGGGTGAAAACAGGGGTTTTATTTTCTTTAGTATTTACTTAGAGCAACCTTCTAATTTGTGCATGAGCTAGATTGTTTTATCTGTTAAGGTTAGTGCAGTAGTCTATTAGAAGTAGAGTAAAAATAGGCTTTTCATGAAAATGGTTAATTTACACCAAATTTTAATCAAATCTCTTAATACGTTTTGGAGATGTTTTTTCATTAAGTGTATGGGGTGAATGTTTAGGTAACTTATGTTCAAATGAATCTCTCACCTCCATAATGCGATATCTAGCAGAGGAGCCAGGAAAGTCACCATCTGCAACCTCTCTGCTTTGCTCTTGATCCAGAGTGTCCTGCTGAACGTCGTCTGTGCTGGAGTCTTCAGGATGGGATTCGAGGTTCAGGAGGCCACACTGCGGGGCCAACTCTGGGAACTCTGTGAAGAGCCAGTGGCGGTCTTTGAAGAACCGATTCTCATGGATTGTGTAGAAATCATTCCAGTACTCATTGGCCCGGCTGTCGTATTCCTCTGCAAGAGAAGGTAAGGCCAGTGTGATACTGATAATCTGCCACTTCCTGCCATGTTTACAAATCATCAACATGAAGATGAGCACATCAATTAATTCCAGGCAGAACTTTATGATTATATTTGTGTTCAAAGAAACAATAGTGAGAGGGTCAATTTCTGTATCTTTTAGCACACTAATAAGTGCAAATGCATCATAACGGTATGAAGTTATAGTTCTGTTAACAGATCTTGGCGACAAAAATGCAACCTTGTTTCTGCTGCGGTAGAGGCTGACTGTTTTCCAACACTTTATTCTTAGCAGCTGCTTCTTGTTCCTCGCTCCACTCCACATTGTCCCTGTGCACAACAGAAAACCTTCAACATGTGACATTCAGACAAGGCTGGGAAATCTTCCAGCACTACCGCAGATGAGGAAAGATAAGATACAACAAGATAAGATTAAACCATCCTTTATTTATAAATGTCCTTTTAGCAGCAAAGAGGACAGACAAAAAATAGACAGCAGTTACAGTACTAAATAAGTAAACAAGCAATATAAACCTAATAGGACTGAGATTGCACACACTGAATTGGACAGATAGAAATGAGCAATATGGTGATACATCATATCAGATTCATTATAATCAGTTCTCAGTTAAATATTTGAAGTATCAGTCGAATAAAACAAGAAAAAAAGACTTTAGATCATGTTATATTAAACTATTAACTGATATATCATCCATTCATTGATCAATTGAGAATATTATGAGCACAATAGTCAACAATTTGAATATTAATTGTTAGTTTGCTTTATATATTTTTGTATTACAGTATTACAAAGTGACTCCGTTGAATTGTTGAAATGATGACCTGAGGTTATTTGACAGCATCTATGTTTTAGTAACTCTATAATCATGACAACAAACAACAGAGATCAGTGACAGTGATGCATTCATGTCACGTCGTGGATCCACTGACCACGCGTTGTGCTGGAACACCTGCCGCGGGTCCGTGAGCAACCGAGTCCCGAACTGAGGCCTCTTCACGTCCCCGGAGGACGAATCCTTCAGAGTCAGCCCCGTGTCACCGCTCCCTGCCTCCGCCGAGACCACGGCATGGGGCGCCGCCATGTTGGATCTGACGCGACGGAAGAAGGGCCGGGCAATGAAGTGTGCTGCGTTCACAGACACACAGGAAATAAACACACTCGTGAAATAAAAGAGGGTCGGTTGTATTTGGTATTTGGGTTTCTGTGGTATGGCAGAGTGTAGCTGTAGTTATCTGGCAGATGATGGTTGATCGATGGATGGTTACATAGATAGATGAGCTGCGGAGGCTGTGCATATACACAAGTGGTCAATTATCATTTCAAAAAATGATGAATTGAGTGTAATGAAATTATACAACACAAAAAGTTGCAAAGGATGGTGGGTGCAATGCACTTAGATTTTGTTGGGGATTTAAAAAACAGTATCTGCTTTATAATTACTAACGTGTAGTGCACCGCATGTTTTCCAGGAGATAACGTGAAGGCGACACGAGTCTTTGTCCAGATCAGACTCTGTGGTCCAGATGTACAACTCACCTGATCCACTGATCCTCGTCACCACACTATAAGTACACATGCTGCTTGACAATAGGAACACACAACGCTTCTATTGCACACATTCTCCTTATAAGCCACAACATCGGATCAGTGCATTGTTTTTACAGCAGAGGGAGACACATACCAGTGTTTCCTGTGCTGAGGTTCACTGCTGCTACTTAGAGCCACATGAATGAGGAGAATGCTTGGACTGAAATTACACAGAATGAGTTTATGTGCACCAAAGACTTTCAGCTGTCCAAACAAACAAATGAACTAACAAACAACAACCCTCTGTCACTGCTAACATGAGTGTGTGAAATTATTATCAAAATTGACATTTAAACCAGTCAACATGCATTTTTGGATTGGTTTTTGTCCCCACCTATGGGCTGCACTCAAAAGGTTTAAGCAATGTGCTTGCATAGCCTACAAAAACTTTTTAACAATTAAATGGACTGTAGTTGTGTAGTATTTCTCGTGTCAATGACTACTCAAAGCTCTTTAGACTAGAAGTCACATGCCACAGGTGACTATGGTTAAGGAGATATAGTGGGATTCGATTTGCATAGACCTCCTCCCGGCACTGCAGATAGAGACACTCACCATGAAGAACCATGATGTACAGTGAGATTCAGCTGAAAAGAGGATAAATGCCACTTACCAGTGATCAAACCCTTTAAATTACAGTAAATTAGCTGTCTCAGGGATTAAACATGCACAGTAATGTCCCTAAAATTATTCAAACAAACAATACACATGTTTAGAATAAGGTAGAATATGCATGGGCATATTTGATGTACATGAAACCAGGAAGATAAACAGCAGGCTATGCATATTTGTTTGAGTCGTACATGTAATGACTGACTGTTGCCTTGCAAGGAGTTTTATTGTCGTGCTGGTGTGAGCAGGATGTGGTGACACAGATATGCTGTGAATGTTTGACAACATTCAAAGTTAAATGACCATAACTGGTACCATATAGAACACCAGTGAACTGAAAAAAAAATGCAGGCGGGCGATAAGGCCTAAGTTTGATGACAACAGGAAATATTGTATGCCATGATAAAAATGTCAGACAGACAGTTTGAACTCTACACACCGATGTTCATTTTAGTAGTTTTCCAACACTCACATCATATTGAACTTGTTTAAATTGATCGCAGGAACTTATCCTACTCATCCCTTTTTGTTTCTTTAATTTGAAATTTGTGTGACATTTGTGAATCCAAGACACATATATCAAAAATGAGGATCCACAAGCATCATCAAGTGTTCACATGTTGAGCTGTGATCCTCTCACAGAGTAAATATAGAATTTACTATCTCTGTTCAGATATTTAAACACATTGGGTCCGAAATATTAAAGTCTTTCCCACTCATTCTGATCTTGATAAGGGAAGTCATGTTTTGTAGATCATGGTGTAAAGAACAAGAGATAAACCACAGGTTTGTTCTTCTTTTTTTTTTAAATGTGCAAAAACAAACAAATACAAAAAACAGTGAACGTTTGTGCCATGTCCTGAGAGGATCAGAGCTTTTAACCAAAATACACCTCACACTGTATCTCACACTATCTCCCATAAACATAAAGAGGTTAAAGAGCATTTTCAGTGTAACATAACCAACAGTTCAGCAATGGCAGGACAAATCACTATGTACAAAAACAACAAATAGAAAAACAGCCCAACAATCACAAAAACAGGTGGTGACGCAGTGATAAAGAAACATTCCATGGTATCAATAAAGTTACCATTGCTGGTGTGCATTCAAAAACAATACAAACCACAGTCATCATTGTAAAACAAGTTATCCTGAAGATTTGCTGGGTTCAACAATTACTATAAACTATTTTGTATCATAAAAAAGAGATGGTAATTAATATGAAAGGCACTGAACCATGTTTTAAAAAAAAATAAAACATTTAAATTCTATGGTGCACATTTTAGTTCTCCTAAAAAACTTTGTTCTGATTGGTTTGGAAACTGCCCTTTTCAATTTTATGAAAAGAGAAGTGCAGGAATATGCTGCAGCTGCACTCTGAAACAGAAAATTACAACTTTAATAAAAAAATAAAAGCGAAACAAGGCTTAGATGTAATCCTGAACATGAATCCTGGACAGGTATCACAGAGCCATCATACAGAGACAAACAACCATTCACGATCACATTCACACCTATGAGCAATTTAGAGCCTCCAATTAACCTAACTCTGATGTGCATACTGTGGGAGGACCTGGACAGAACCCACTCATTGTAGACATGACAGTTTAAAACCCAAAACTGAAGAGCATGCAACCAGCCTCATGTGACTCATATTAACAGTTCTCATTATTTTTCAACAGGCTGCTGTCTTCAGTTACAGTAGCTAGTCACATGACAGTGTAAGCTTCTTCCCGTCCAATTCTGTGCTGATACATTCCATCTTTGTCACTGACCCCTGAGTGTTTCTCTCTCCATTTAGTCATCAGTTGCCGCGGTACGCTACGTTGGTGAAGGTGGAGGTGGCGCCCTTATACAGAGGATTGTTACCCTGGGAAATGAAAACAGAAGTAGCACTGTTTTATTCAATCTCACACTGATGATCAAAACTTTTTGAAGGGTGATGTCGATCCGCAGAAGAGGACAACCACATTCTGTTGCAATACTCCATTCATCCTAAAAGCAGGAGCATTTAGTTTAGGTTATTATTATGTCCCAATTATAAATATTTCTCACCGTATCCCACTTGGCTTTGGCTCTCTCCTCCTCAAACCTGGCAAACTCTCTGCGATCGTGGATGGTGACCAGCAGCTTCCAGATGAGGAGGCCAACCAGGCCCAGTAGCAGAATGGCTCCGACCACCGCCGGGAGCAAAATCAGGACATTTGGACCCTCGGGGCACTCTGAGAGCAGAGAGCCAAACAAAGGGTTCATTTCTAATGCTGTTAGATATTTTCTTTTAAAGTCAAAAAACCACTGCAGTACTCCAGTGTCAGACACTCTGCTGCACAACTGTAGATGTGCTATAGATTTATTGTATGAATGTGTGTGTGAATGGGTGAATGGCAGTAAACTGTACTGTGAAGCGCTTTGAGTGGTCATCAAGACCAGAAAAGTGCTATATAAATACAGACCATTTACAACAAGTCACTACACTGATGTATTTGGTATTTGGGTTTCTGTGGTGTGGCAGAGTGTAGCTGTAGTTATCTGGCAGATGATGTGTTCTTTACAGAGGAGCATATTATTACATGCTCATACTGTTCCCCTGATGCCGTAGCGTGCCAGACACAGACTGAAATGACATTCAAGAACACACCATTCTGTGCTAATAATGTAATCAGAATGTAATGCACGGTGTGTGCACAGCAACTCTTACAGTACCTGGCTCTTTTACCACAAACAGAATGGATTTGCCACTTTCATCTTCGTAATACTGGAAGTGCTCCACGCAGTCATTTTCGTCTTTGTATGAGCAATTCACTGCATTTCTGTTATGGGAACCTGCGGGATGAAGATGATAAGAAGAAACAGGGTAATGAAAATGATTTCAAGGTACGGTGAATTATCTTTAATATTTGTTAGTCCATTATATTCTTTGGTCATGATGTGCATGTCAAGGCTCCAGCCACTTTCAAACTTCTGCTCATATGTTCAGAAAAACAGCATTTTTTCCACAACAGCTCAGAGTTACATTATGAAATTAAAGAAATTAGAGATGGAAGATTTCTCACCCAGTTTATCCACTACTCTGATCTCATCTTTGCAGATCTTGTTGCAGCTGTTGTCTGTGGTGTACTGTCCTCTCTTGAAGTGTTGACACTCAACACACTTCCTGTGGGCAAAAGAATAGAAACACTCAAGATGTTGTTTATATCAAATGAACCCTTGTTAATATCTGCCGACTATCAAGGCTGAGGAGAACGATTGACGTTGTCCTGCTGTGAAACTACAACTGAATTTATTGGGTTTGTGTGAGGGAGTAGTTTGTTATCATCCTGGACTGTCAGGACATCATGATAAAATAATATAGACTAGCATGGATGAAATTTCTTAAATTCTTTGCTGTAGCTTATTTTACCAGCGAGTGGCACAACCTGAAGACGGCATAGTCAGTTGTTTAGAAACACGGTAATAAAAAAATCTTATCTGACATCACCACAGGTCAAGATGATCTCACACATCTCACTGCATATCATGTTACAGCTTATTGGAAACTAGAGGATGAGTTTCCATTATATTTTAAATATTCATGGTCCCCAAAGGATCAACCATTTCCATTTTTAGCTCTTTTTTGCACCACCCTTGGGTCAAAATGTTATCTTTGGATCTCATAAACTAATCTCATGGCAGACTGCATGACATTTCTCAAGCACACTCAGGCTCCCAGAGAAATAAATCCTTTGGCATTTCCTCTAGTTGAGTGCCAGCCTTATGTTTATTCTCTCCAAATCATAGCGTATAGAAGGAGGGACTCTTTGTGATGGAGAACTCACTTTTTTATAGTGCAGGAATCCGGACAGGTGGGGCACTTCTCACAGGTTTCTCCGTAGGCACCGGGTTGAGTGCACTGACAGACCCCACACTCACAGTTCCCCCGGCCGGTGCACAGCAGACCAATGCTGGACATGCAGGTGTCTATAATTGTGCTGCAGTTGCAGTCATTTCCTTTCCAGCCGGCGTCACACTGGCAGTAGCCACAGCTACACTTCCCATGATCTGAAAGAATTAAAAAGGGATGAGGATGTTGATAATAGTCGACATCATAATAACAAAATCAAAAGATTACATCTTTATGTTCATTCGGATATGTTTTTCAGTGTCCATAATCCCACAGGAGGACTGTTGCTTCACAGCAATAAGGTTCTTGTTTTGGTCTCTGTATGGTTCTCTGTGTTTGCATGTTGTCCCCGTGTATTTGTTGGTTTCCTCCGGTTACTCTGGCTTCCTCCCGCAGTCCAGAGACATGCAGATTTAACTGGATACTCTAAATTGACCATTGATGTGAATGTTAGAGCGACAAATTGTTTTGTCAGCCTTGCCATAGACTGGCAATCTGTAAAGGGTGTACTCCGCCTCTCGCCAGTGCTTAAAGGATAAGCGATATAGATAATGGATGACGGATAATCACACAGGTTACACAATCTGAAAATGAATCAGAGTGTGTGTGATTTATTGTTTTGGGTGTAAACTGTCTCTGAGTTGTGTGTCTTAGAAAAGCATTTGTTCATTAAGCAACCATTTAATTACTAGTTAGGTGTGACTTCATGTTTATGATGTTTATGTTTTATTTGTTAAGTTTAAAAATGAGGACCTTTGTTGTTAACAATATAACTTGATAGACTTGGTGCTG